GCTTGTATCCGGGACCTCGTTCTTTCGGTCATGACCCAAAGCTCATGACCATAGATGARGGTAGGATCGTAGATCGACCAGTAACTTGAGAGCTTTGCTTTCTGACTCGGCTCTCTCTTCACCACGACGGACCGGTACAGCGCCCACTTTACAGCAGACGCTGCGCCAAAGTTCTCAGAAAGTTTTTATTTTTTATTTATTTTTTTTACAATCAAGCTGATGAAAATATTCTAAATAAAACTCAACACCTGGATAGGTACATAAAATTGCTGCTTTCAAACTTTTAATGAGAAATAGCTGAAAGGCAAAAGTTTTGCTCTTATTAAAAACTAATTAAGTCAACAGAATGGTGAATATTGCATGAGTTCATCAGTTCATGATATAAGAATTAATCACATACTTTTTTCTACCATTATTTATTAGTAATCATCATTGGTAGTCATCAAAACTGCAGAAAGATGCCATAAAATAGTTACTGAACTAAAATAAGAAACACACCCAGTAGCTTGAAATTCACGAGAAAATGGAAAATTCTGTTAAAAAATTGCAAATTTGTAGTTGTTTTGTTCGAATCCCTAAAAATAACATTATGTATGCATCTCATACAATACTGCCAGATGTCACCTGAGTAAAAATGGAATTTTGATGAGTATGAATGCATTAAAAATATACTTTAAAAAAACTATGAATAAACAAAAGTTTGTGAGATGGGCCATTGGGATGACAGCACTGTAAGAGCTGCTCACCTGGGATTTCAGTGTCTAAATGTAAAAACTTGCAGCTGACTGTGTGTTATCGCTCGAACAGCTGGCCTCTCTGTGCTTCAACGAGTCTGGAAGCCAGCAGTTTTTTTTATTTTCAAATCTATAGGACAAGTTTTGATGCTGTTCAACAGTGCATTGGTACATCCACGACCAAATGTGTGTGAGCATATCTAACAAGATACCTATTGAGTTGAATGCAAAGTACTCAACACTGCTTTCATAGATTAGGAAATATACATGGTCAGATTAGAGTTAGTAGGTTTATTCAGATAAACTAAAGTGACCACAATGATTAACCTCAGATGTGTAAACTTTATGATTGCTCATGTTCGCAAATCAAACAACTCAGCCGAACATATCTCAGTATGTCTGGACAACTGCTGGAGTAAACTGTTTAAAATTTAATATAGTTCCAAATAACTTTTTAAATGTTTGACTTGAAACTTTGCAATAAGTCCATTTGACACTGAATTTGTACAAAACCTATAGAAAATAGAGGGAATTATGACAGTTTTTAATCCTTTTGGATGTTCATCAAACATTTTTAGCATCCTTTCCTAAGACAACTGAGGAACTTCAAAGGCTCTAAAATTGCCAATGCTAACAGTTATTTGAGTAAGGAAGCTCCCATAAAGTAATTAAATTCAGTTTAGGTCATAAAAAACTAATTAGTTTAATTAATCGTTTAAACGATACCCGGCTGAACTGGAAATAGGCCGGGGTGCGGCTGCCTGAGACGGTCCTCGTGCAAATATGAGTGGCTGAGCAGATGAAATGTTTATCCACCAGCTCAGACCTCTCTCATAAGCACCTGCACATCGAACAATACAAGTGCCCTCGGGTGACGGGATGAACGCAGGAGTGTATTTGTCTAGAATTGAGCATCAATTTTCAGCCGGATTGAGAGAAGCGGTGATGTTTTCTCTTTGGGCTCCCACGAGTGGGCCCTTCTGTGCTGCGCACCGWTGCCGTTGTATAGCATCACGAACGGACTCAACGCTGGCAGTGGCTGCTTTGCTGCAAAAAATAAAATAAAATAAATAAAAAGCCTGATCTCAAGGCTGCATCAGTGGCAGAAGGCTTGAGCAGTTCTGTGCAGAAAAGTAACAAAGGAGAATTGGAGTGTGTACGCAATACAGAAAACTTACTGAAATTTTAAAAAACATCCATGTCTTCCGTTCAAGCCTTCCTCTGTCGTTTCATTCAGCTTTTGTCTTAGCGTTGGCTGATTGCACCCTAGACTACTGTAGCCCATATACAGTGCATACACTATGTTGCTAGGTAACAGTGCCTCATGAATATCCTGCTGTTCTTGCACAATCAA